ACTAATTTTTAAAGTATCAAATTTAATTTTTGTTCAATAAAAATCTTTCAAATGCGACTGTAGAGTTGGCAGTGGGTGGTGGTGGCTAGCTGCTTTCCCTCTAGCCTGCCACTGCTAAATTAGGGATGGCTAGCGGATAACAGTTTAGTTTGTCCATACAAACGATTCAAACTTAGCTCATGTTGGTATACAGCGCATGCTCAGTGAATGTATATCGCGGGCTGATGTTGTTGATCTTTCTACTTGGAGTATTTATCGCATGTAAACATACGTGTTTCCATTTAAAATTCCACAGTCATTATTATCAATTTAATCGAAGCTGTTTGTGATACTGTTGGTTTTCTATTTGAACTTTGTTTGCTATATGTGTGTGTGTGGTGGGGGGAGGGGGGGGGAGGAGCTTCTTGCTACAATGTAATGTTGTTTATGTTGTTTTACTAATGGCAACGATAACGCGGACGTACGATAAACGAATGGGCTTTTCTTAAAAAAGAGACATAGAAATTAAGTAATTATTATTTTAAATAAAAATATGCAAAAAATTCATATTCTTGTCAAGTTATAACATGAATAACAAAAACATCACACGTATAAAATGTGGTTATCTACAAATAAATCACAATAAAAACATCACACGTATAAAATGTGGTTATCTGCAAATAAATCACAATAAAAACATCACACGTATAAAATGTGGGTATCTGCAAATAAATCACAATAAAAACACCACACGTATAATGTGGTTATCTGCAAATAAATCACAATATGTATTTATTACACAGAAGTCTCCTGGTGGCTCAGGAGTAAGCGTGAAGGTTTATAACACTCAAATTTAGAGTTCAATCTCTGTGATGGACATAGAGTAGATAGGCCATTATATAGATTTTCGCTTAGACAAACGAACATTGATTTGGAAGTCGTGTTTGATTCAAGGCAAAGTCCATTTTTCCTGACTTCATCATTCCTTTCCTTAGATGAAACTTGAATTATGTGAATCGTTCTTGTATCTGTTATTTTAACCGGATCTCTTGTAAAATAATATTTCCATCCTGAGGATGTTTCAATAAGAGAAAGCGGTTTTTACCCGAATAAATCTCGAATATTTTACAAGTAGAACTAAAGAAATTAACAACAATTACCGTAAAACAGGGTAATAATGTACAAAACATACTTCACATTATTTTATTATTAATTTCAAATGTACTATTGATTGGATTATCAGAGTTTTTCAATGATACAAACTTTCATATCTGAGCTTTTAGTGAAGCACAGCACTACTTTCATAGATGACATATTTGATATCAGTATTATAAGTTTATACCTGTTTACCTTCTTTTTACCTTTGGTAAATGTTTTCCGTTCATTGTTGGTAAATACGTGAGATGAGCCATGCTCATTTTGTAAACTTTTGTGTCTTTCTAAACACATACTGGTTCTTCATATGGATCCCAGTGTTGGAAAAAATAAGCTATTAGTAATTTTCTCCTTCATCATCCTGTAATGGGGGTAATTAAAAAACCCTGGACCTTATGATGTTCGTGTGAAATACAGTTGGGCTACACTATCGAGCTACAATTCGGCCACCTATTCACCATTTACAGTATGTTCAAGCCAAAACTTGACGTTTGAAAGCAATGGACGTATCGCCATTAGGAAACATCTGTTTATAATTCTCCTATTTCACGGTACCACCTATAATGTACCCATGTAAGGGTATTCAGCAGTCCACACTTTCAACTACATCTGTTATTGAACTGATTTCAAATAATTGCCTATCTTATGAAGATAAATGAAACAATTCACAGCTAACTGAGTAATAACTTATTACGTTTAATTATTTTTAAAGAAGCATTCACTATAGCTTAATACTGCAGGAGAGAGAATTACCTAATATCCAGAAATTCTCCTAACGAATAACTTTAAACATTAAACACGCTAGGCTTACCTTCTTCTAATCCTTTTTTACGTCTTCGCCGAACGAAACATATAACAAGCACAATGTTAATGACGAGCAGAAACGTCCCTACGACTGATACACAGGTTATTATTATGCGAGGAATCTCTATTTTCTCAGACATTACTTCCCGTGTCACACGCTCTGTTTCATTGTCGGGAACTCCACCTTTAGAAATAAAAACTAACTAATTAAATATATATATATTTTCACCTTTATTAATAAACTAGTGTAAAAGCCTGTCAAAAATGACAGAAGATCACTATAAACCAAAACTATTCCGTATAAAACTGGCAAGACACAAAAGAAATAAATAAAAGAAATATAAAATGTCTTTTTCCAGGAACATGTTACATATTGCTCCTGAATCCACTACATATATCTGAGCAAACATGCTACATACGATGACCATGTGATTGCATGCAAGCCTGTTCTTCTGAGGAAAAGTCGTCCTCTGCCCTACAGATAATTGGTATCTTCTGTCTTTTTTAACAAAGGCTTTTTCATAATAGTTCTCAATCATAGACTTGCGCTAATGTTTGACTTATTTTTCTCAGGCGTTGATAGGGTGCGAATGCAATTCTGTGTGTTCGGTCACGCCAGTCTTCCCGGCTTTCTTATTCGGATCCTACCTAGCTTGACGTCATAATGATGTGGATGATGTGGTGTCACACACATAACGCCATGCCTGATTTGGTCTCAGGAACTTTCTCCTTGAGAGGGTTT